CATTAAGTTGTCTCAGGCATTACTACTTAACAGAGCTGCTTTCACTCCACTCACAATAACTGCCTATTCTTCCATAGCAATTGCAAATTTGTATATATTGGTTTGCTTTATCAGGTCAGAAACATCTTTCAGACTAAAACTAAATACCGACCATTGTGTCATTTGTTAAATATCTAGGCCAGGGAAAGGCAACTTTCCCAGGATTGGGGGCAGAAACTCACTTTTCTGATCACACTTGACATCACTGGGTGGAGATGAGCCTGGGATAGGTCAGAGGTCAACTTGCTTCTATTCCCACCTTGAAAAAGTCCCAACAGCCTGGAATTGTTCACCAACATTCAGATCATGGGTTGTATGACTATGAATTAAACTTGGATATTTGCTCCAGAAGCCTCCGGCTTCCCTGTCTTCTTTCACAACACAAGTCAAACCAAAGTTGTATAACCCCAATTCAGTAGTTTTATCACTGTATTTTAGCGACACAATTTTGGGTTGTAAATGAGTTAAATACAGCCAATAGGTTGCCCCACCCCCCATGCGAAAAACAATATTGGTCCTTCAAAACATCCAATGTCCTCAGTATTTTGGAATAATTCCTTCTCAGAATATTTAGAAAAAAAATAAATCTACATTTCAGTACAAAACAAAGCTCTGCAACATCTATGGATAGTGCATTTGTTTAGAAATTGTAACTATCTCCATAAAATAATTTGATTGGAATGAAAAACCTATATACCATTTTCTTCCATTTGGAATTAGTTAGTTATACCAGTGGCCCCCAACCTTTTTTGTGCCACGGCCCGGTACCAGCATCACAAAATGATCTGTGGTCCAGGACCGGCATCAGCACGCATGACAAGGCAAGGCGAGCTGAGCGACCGGCCAGCCAGCTGTCCCCTGCTTCTCCCCGCCACCTTCAACTCCTCCTTTGTACCTTTGTCAATGGGCTTTGCTTTGGGATGGCTTCAGGACGGTCGCTCGGCTCGCCTTGCCTTGGGTGCTAAAAGAATCCTCGCTCCTTAGTTTCATTCGAAGTCCCCCCCCTTCGATGAAACTAAGGCGCGAGGATTCCTTCAGGACCCAAACACCGCTTTCCAACCGGAAAAGCTCACCCGGAAGCACTTTCTCGTCAAACAAGATGGCGGCGCCCAGCAAACCAGCGGCCTGGTAGGAAATGTTCCACGGACTGGTACCGGTCCGTGGCCCGGTGGTTGGGGACCCCTGAGTTATACAATGAAAAACAGAAACATGAAAGAACACTGGGAATCATTTTTCTCTTACATTTATCACAATAATTTCCTGCTAAAATGACCAGTATTACTTCAGTAAGAAAAAGCTGGTGAAGCTTTAAAAATAAATAAAGCTACCCCACACATTTTTGACCATTTTCCCAAATAAATTTCCCTTTATTTGGTTCTGTTCAGAAGATAAAAGCTTCATTTTTCCCACACAGAAATGTCAGGAGTCAGTGAATGTGAAGAGGATGGAAGAGTACTAACTTGTAAATTCAGTGAGATAATCTGTGGCCTAAGTCAGAATTATGAAAAATTTTCATGTAGATGAAGAGGAAAACATGCACTTGTTCCAAATTTATGTGGCATGAAAATGTGATATATATATATATATATATATATATATATAATAATTTCAAAGCCTTTTTTCAAATTTAACTGGACTCAACCATTTACAATTTCTAGAATCAAAATTCTTTTTTTGTTTTAGTTCTTAAGCTTGTAATTAAATTTTTCTTTCATTAAGGTTTGAAGGCAGACTCACCTGGTGCTTGCTGACTGATGACTATTTCCTTGTCCCCCATGTTTAAAATCTACTGCAAACTGTTGTTTTTGCAGTTATTTCATGAGAAGCAACTGCCTGGAGCACTTGTGGGCAATCTCCCATCACCTCTTTGTCTGGAGAAGTTTGAAAAGCCAGCCTACCATTGTCTTTGTTCTCTACAGCAATTGTCAGCTTCGCTTTTCATGGAACTGTTTTCAGTCCACCATTTCTTCCTCCAGAAGCCCAATCACATATTTTCTCAGTGGAAGTAAGGAGTACTGAATTTAGACTGATCTGAATTCAATGTGACCCTGCTTTATAGAGAGGAGTACACCTAACAGACAGATAGTTGCATATTCACTCTTGCCTTCACAGTTCAGTGTGGCTCAGTGTGGTTGTATTCTCAGCAGAAACAAACTGGGATGATCTATTCCTCAACTGTAGATCAATATAATGTGATCTGGATGTTCCTAGCTGAAGATCTGGACACAAACATATTAAACAATCCTTGTACAACCCAAGGTCCAAATTAGCAAAAATAGGGAATAAAACTATAATCATGCTTCTGTTTATTGTACATAGTTAAGACACGAGAATTCCATGGCTGCTGGTAGACTATGTTGAAAATTGTTTTAGCAGAAGTCAATAGCAAGTCACTTCCATAAAAGTACAATGACAATGGCCTGGATATGTTTTTAAGAGTTATATTTAACTCGTTTTTATTATTTTAAGCAATAAATTCAGTTTCTGTTGGCTAGCAGAAGAGACCCTGTTGGTATATAGATTCCATCTTCTCATCTCTGAAACTTGCCCTAATTACAAATTGGCTCCAGAGAGTTGGAAAGCTGATGGTAAGTTAGTATGTTCACACAATATTGGGTATCACTAATAGTTTTGGAATCTGAAATTGTAAACATTATTCTATCCAAAGGAAATGTAGGTTTTCTGCTTCAGTTAGAAATAAGACAAGTGAAATTTGAATAATAGATGTCATCACTTCATAGAATACACAAAAGAAGTCAAAATCCTCCTGCGCAAAGCCTTTCAAAATAAGTTTTTTTTTTTTTGCTGGAGCTCAAATTAGTCTGAATGCCATCACTGTTTGAGATGTTTGTCCCAGTTTGATTATTCAGTAAAATTAAACATTGCCACAAAAAGGGTATTTTCCTCGATGTGTATCCTGGGTTTCAAGTATTTGACATACATCAACATTGTCCCACTGGTAACATAGGTCAAAGCACTACACATTATTGTATGTATGTATGTATGTATGTATGTACATATGTATGTAGTTGTGCTTTTAAAGTTGTAGCAATGTTTTGGCAGAATCTCATCTGCCATCATCAGGCTTCTGTATAGTATTTGTCTGTGACGAACACTATACAGAAGCCTGATGATGGCAGATGAGATTCTGCCAAAATGTTGCTACAACTTTAAAAGCACAACTATAATGACGTGGGAAAATACCCGAACAAAGCTAAATACCATACACACACACACACATATAGTCAGATTAATATAATTATTCAATTGAAAAAGAAAATAATATAAATTAGTGGGCACAACTTTTCCAGAAGTGTTATTTATGGCTGCTTTTTTAGTCCTTTATCATGATGAATGATATATTTCGTTCTAAAAGACTAATTGCAAACATTTCTGTATTAGCTCAAATTCAATTACTCAGTTTTAAAGCCTCTGTAGAGCTGTTATACATTTATACATCATAAAGACAGTAAATTATTTCTCTCTATATTAGGCTTTCAGAGCTGATTTCTTTTCTTTTTTGTTCTAGATGCCAAATATCCGACCACCTCTCCACCAGAGAGTTCATATCTGGAGAGCCAACATCTGTAAAAACATTTCTAATGAAAACAGAAATGCAATCCTCCAGAGAAGTAAATGAAATAAGATCTAAGCATATGGAGCCATCATTTTCTAGGTTTTCCTTGAACAATAGCATGTTTGGTACTTCCCATTCTAAAGATAGGTCATGATTATTCTGAAATAGCAGTAGCAAAATAAAATGAAGTATAAATTATTTTGCCTGCAATGTCTTCTGCTAGGGAATGGACATTATTTGATACAATGCGTATAATATAATAATTATACTTTAAGCAGAGATTTGTTATTTGACTACACCAGAATACATTTTTTTCTAAAAATAGATTCTATTGCCTCTATTTATACAGCTTAATTTTAGTTACTCTTTATCTATGTGTGCAGCTGTTAACAATGAAGGTGGGAAAAAATGAATTAGACAATGCGAATGAATTAAGTGCTGTTTTGCTGTTTAGAATGAAAATCAAGTCAATAAAGGACATAAAGTAATTTTATAAATAGTAAGAACATATTCATAAATACTTATTGTTTCGTTACAGATTATTTGCTTCCTTCTGTTTAATTGTGTCCCATTCTCAGGAGACTACCTGGACAGGTCCATGCAGTTTTAGCAAGGCTTTTCAGAAGTGATTTGCCCTTGCCTTCTTACTCGGACTGAAAGAAAGTGACTAGACCAAAGTCAACCAATTGGCTTTGTACCTAAGGTGGAACTAGAACTCATGGTCTCCTGGTTTTGGTCATGATGCCTTAACCACTACACCAAACTGGCTTTTCTACAGACTATTAGGAAGTGTCAAAACCTTCCAACGTAGAACTGGAATGTTGCAAGTGTTAAATAATGTTCCATCCTTCACAGATAGAGATCTCTTCTAGACCAAAGAAAAATTAATAATGGAACCAAATATAACCATATTCATCACTTGATTCGTGGAGAAAAATTGGAAACCAATAGACACTAGTCCACTTTCTCCTCTGTGATAACTGACACTGTTAAACTTGATTTGCTATCCGATTCCTTGTGAAAAGCCATCTTTGGAGCTGCAAAGAATCAAGTGCTTTACAGATATGCTTAAGGAGATACTTAGAAAGTGTTATTTTTGTATTTGTGTATTTTTGTCCTTTTATGTATTTTTATCTTTAAAGGAATGTATGTGAAATTGTGTTTAATGGTATTTTAAAAGGAGTTAAATAACAGGTTTCAAGGTTTGTGTTGAATTCATGCTCAACAAACTTTAAAATACATTTTAGACTGAAAAAAATGGCCTTTATTTAATGTTAAGGCCCCCTCTAGTGTTTGAGAATTAGTTGCAAACTCAATATTTGATTTACATTTTAGACCTATACAATTTAACTGCACGAAACATAAAGGAATATTTCAGGTTTATTGGCATTTTCTTTTATGACATGTTAGCGATGCAATAAATTAAATTATTTACAAATTATAATTGCTCACTGTTGCATTATTTAAATTCTAGGATAATAATTATGAATGTGATTTATTGCAAATATATCACATAATGCAGTAAACTGTCAACATTACAAATCTTTAAATTCAAATGGTAAGTTAATTAAAATTAACTGAATACAAAATATTTTCCCATTTCAGTCCTTTAAAAGAATAATCAGCATAAATGTGGTTACTTACAATGACTTACAATGTGAATAAATTTACAATGTAAATACATCTTTTAAATATTTTTTAAAATCCTGTGATATAAGCAAAGTCACAAACAACATAAAATATATGGTTTTCAGTGTAGAAGTGAGATTTGAAGTATAATGAAAATATTCTAACAGAATGTGTGGAAAATACAAATGTGGGTATTTTGTCTCAAAATGCTGAAAAATTGAGTTCATTTCATCAGCAGCATGTAGTAGATGATTTTTTTTGAACTAAAAATCCATTTTAAGACCTATTTTTTGAAGTAAACTTTCACGTTACTTTCATATATTCAATATTGAATATAAACATATTTTAAGTTTACAGAAAAAAAATAAATTTGTCATCAGAAAAAAAAAACACCACAGGGTTTATATTACGGCATTTAAAGTCACAAATCTTTAAATTATTTTGAGTTCCTCATTAGATAAGAAACTGGAAAAGGAAAGGGGTCTATTATTGAAGACACACTGCCCAGCATTAAGGTCATAGTGGTATTTTCCCATTTTCTTTCTTTCTATCATCACGTTCGGAATTCTATCACTTCTGGCATCATCCTGATTAAGGCTACACTGTAGCCTCGGTTATTTTAAACTATAGATGTAAAATAAAAGATAACTAAGTTCCTTATTCATCCATGAGAGGAAAAATGCCTAGTGAATGTTTTCAGCTGTATGCACAAAGAAATGTTCAGGGCAGGCAACATTCAGACTAGTATCTATGAAAATATTAAGATGCAGATTCCCAACCAAACCACAGAATAAAACAATCCCATATTTCACATGCACACTAGACACTCCATCTATAACAAGCATACACTGAACATATTGCTGAGAATTATGCATCATCAAAGTTGATATGGCTATCTCAGGCAGAAACAAATGGCATGATATGATTTTGAGTCCAAAATCAATTGTGTTGAAATTTTCTTCCATTGTTACTTTTTGCTTGATGGTAAATATAATATTAAATTTGTATGTTGCCCAACTTTCAATCACTCTGGGCGTCGCACAATCAAGCAGGAAAATTAATAAAACAATATAAATAAAAGATGGCAAGCACGATAAAGTGAGAATTAGGATTAGCGTACGTATGTGTGTGTATATTACATATCACATAGGAGATAAATATTATTATTTGAGAATAGCCCAAGTTACCAACATCTTTTAAAATATATTTTAAAGAGATGGATATTTAATCATTAAAGTTAATTAAATAATTAATCCAACAGATGAATAATTACACTGCTGAATTAACCATTTTATTTTCCAATTTTAAGCATGGAGCCATAGCTTGCTGTGTTGGATTATTTATATCACAAAATCTGTCTTGAATAATCCTACACATGTAAAATCACTGGGTAATGAGATGCATGCATAGTAATATCCAACAACTGTCCTTTGGTTTGTGTTGGATTGGACAACTGATATAGGCAGTAACTTCCAGATATACAGATAACCCCACACTTAATTCCATATAAATTTTAATATATGGATGAAAATAATATTGGTATAAGGAAAACATTAATCTATCCTGACAACTATTTGATATGCAAAGTGTTTATAAATTGGATATAATATTAAGTAAACCATCTCCTTTTACAGATCAGAGGAATGCACTTAAAAACTTGGCCATCTACTACCAAATTTTCCAAATACTCTTCCACCATTTACTTCACTGGCCCAGATAAATCAGGTGCCATTTCTTGATGAATTTTAACTGAATTGTGATTATTACAGAAAACTGAGATCAACATAAATTGTTTAGGTAGTCAGCTACTTGTCAGTAAGAGTAGTGCTTTTCAACCTAAATAAGAGCCTATTTGTACAACGTATTGTTAAACAGTCATAAGTATGTATAAATAAGTATACTAATTTGTTTAAAGCAAAATCTGTCATATGAGGAAAAGTATTAAAAGTCAAGGTGTGATATATCTCAATTTTGCTTAAAAGTTACTACAAATGACTATAGGACATTTTCCTAAATGCAGTTTTATTGAAATGGCATTTTATTATAAATATAAATGTATTTAATAAGCAGGTTTGTAATAAAATAAGCAAGCAAAAAATTCTGACAAGAAATACTTCCACTGTGTAAATAAAAGCTTTTGCAATACTGACCAATTGACATAAATAAATAGGTTAAAAATAATAAAACAATTGAAGTAGTCAATGCTTCATCTCATTTCTCAAAAGTGGTACAGTGATGTTCTGATACAGCAGTAAGTCTTGGGAGACAGAAAATCCACAAATCCATCAAAATTTAATTCAATCTACCATTTGCTAAAATCTGAATCTTGGAAGTAAAAAATGTACACACACACACACACGAACAAATTCTCTGAGTCCTGCTACTTGCTTCTATTTCTTTTTATAAGCACTTCACTGATTTGACGATCAAGCTCACTTACGATATGATCTTCATGATTATATACACCTGTTCTCAACAAGGTATCCCTCTCCTCTATTAGACGTGCAAGGTAGTCATCCAAAGCCTCATCTCCTTTTCCAGTGTGAGCATTTTGCAGTTGGACTCCCAATAACTCTTGGCCATCTTGTGACTTTTTCTTATCTTCTTCTTGTTTCAATCTAAAAGGAAAAATTACACTGAATTGTACTCTACATCCTGCTCTTTTGTTTTTCAAAGCCAGCTTTCTATTGAAATTAGTTGAAATGAAAAGAAACAGACACTATTATTTAATTAGAAGAGTCTCAATACTAATTTTATTGCATAAGCCCTCTGCTGGAAGACAAAAGTGCTATTCTCAAGTGTATAAATTTGAGCGATCTTCATTAAGAATTAAACAGTTTGAAACATTCAAAAATATATACTTTAAAGGTATTGGAAGTTCTATTTAAAATAGAAAGTACGTTCACAAGAGATGTGAGAACTATTAATATGTCTTTTTATGCAGCAAAAAGGTTTGCTTAGCACAGGAGGTTAAAAAAAATCTTGTTGTATTATTTTCTACAGTCAAGATAAAAAACTAGGTCTGGTGGCCTTTGGCATAGATTTCCTATAAAACAAGGTTGCTACATTTTATAAATGGGAAAATATTACCTAAGGGACAGAAAGCTGTGTTCTTTTACAGGACTGACAGCCAATTAAATTTGACTTAGCTGAACCTTCACCTATTCAGCAGCAGAAGTAAAAAATCCAGCAAATGATACAATACCTGTTCAGTTCATTTCTGATATCCTCTAGCTCTTGCCGTTGTGTCTTTCCTAATTCTTTCTCTTCTGCTGCAAGGTACCGAAGTCTCATGTGTTCAAGTTCTTGTTGCTGCTTTTTAAGACGAGCCATAGCATTCTCTTGCTCACGCTAAGGAAAAGCCAACTACATTTAATTTTACAGAAATACTTCCACCGTACATTTGACAGCTTATCTTATTTAATTAGGGACTGTAGATTTTGTTTATGCATATGCAAGTGAGATAGGAAATAAGGGAATTCTTTGCAAGCATCATGAAAGCTACGATCTACATTTGTATTTAAAAGGTGTTGAAACCATTTACATGAGTTACATACAGAAATAGGGATACTATAAAAAGAGACTTAAAATCCATGTAATTGTACATTTCTCCTTTTTAACCATTTATTTAAAAGTTTAAATAAATGACAATTTAATTTCTAGGACCACCCACTAGTAGTTCTAGTTTCACTTAATAACAACCATTATTTAATGACCAAATTGCTATTTCCAATTGCAGTTGCTACCTGAGGACTACTTGCAATGGAATAAAAATTGTATTAAAATTTCTATAATCTACTAAAATTCTCGTGTCTGTAACTTTTAACTCATGCATCATATGACAAAACATTTTCTACCAAGATACCTTGAAATGAGCTATCTTACAAATGTGTCCAAAACCTAGGGCCCATGACTCCTGTGGAATTGAAACATGGCAAATTTTAATTTAAAAAAAATCATGATATAAAATTATTATAAAGCATTCTATGACATAAAATAAAGTGTCATAAAATGTTCCCATAGCTCATCCTGATGTTTGAAGATGCTATAATGTTCAACATATACTAGTTTCAAGGCAGATACATCTCTGAAGATCCCTCTTTTTAAAAAAATTTAAAAGAATTTTTAAATAACTCTTTCAAGTACATTAGAAAACCTATCACTGTTGAAGACACTGTGGAATCTGGTAAGGAAATGTTTCTGAAATAATGATAACAACAAGTCACGGGTTGTCTAATATACCACACACACGTTGGCTAGACTTATGGATACATTAATGGGAGCAAACTCAATTGAACTCAATAGGGTTTAGTGCTGAATAGTTTTGCATTGCTGAAACCATTACAGAGTATCTGGTTTTGGATTAAAAACATGTGTTGCTGGTCTTCTTTCTTTCAATAATCCAAACAAAATTTTGTTTTTTGTATCTGAGATATTATGTCTGCTCAAAGCTTGAATAAGCCAAATACAAACTGTCTGCCCTGTAAGGCCTTATAAGGACTAAAATAATTTTCTTAGAAAGCATGTGATACATGATATTAGGCACATGCTATATTCTTGTTAAAACAGCAAAAGTAATTAGCCAGCTTTCAACTTTAAAGTTCTACATGTCTGATAGGACTGTAGGATCCAAATCATTCTAAACTTCCCAGACTATGTCTGAAGTAGATGATTTATGATGATTAGAGTAGAGGTTTATAAAAAGAATGAACTGTCTGTAAGAAAGATTTTTGGTTGAAAAGATTTTTTATCCATGTTTGGTACTGAAATGAGAACGTTACAGCAGAGATTTTTTTCCGGGTACCTTTGTTTCACACAATGTACTACAGAAAACAAACACCCCATATTTGTTTTAATGACTATTTATATCACTGAAAACTGCCCCTAATCAAACTCAGTGATTCCAGGCTGCCTTTGCATGCTGTACAACTTTCCTTTCTTTCTTTTGCTCTCCTTCCAGGCATTCTTAGAAGTTTGTAGCCACACTAGCCAAGTGTCTTAATTATATGGACAACAAATCAAAGGGACTTGAACTGCACTTCAAATTTGCTGTAAACAGCAACATACATATTTTCATAATAAGATTATACAATAATGAAGGTCTTAACAAACTAACTGTGGATATGGTTTATTTTTTCCACATATTTATGGTAAGGATGTGCAAAGCACTCAAAGTATAGAAAGGCTATTTTATTTCTTGGACAAAACATTATGTCCTTGTCTTCTCTCTTGGGACAAAAGCAGGCTAATTTGTTGCCATTTCAATTGTTTTGATATCTTGCAATTAGCTTTTTAAAAAATTAAGTCAGAGATTTAGAATGTGCACCCAAGCAATATTAGTTGAGGCAGACTCCTCAAGGGAATGTGAGTTAAGCAAAAAGTTCATTAGTAAACATTGAGCAACCACTACAGCACCCCTGGATATATATTTTAAAGCATTCCTACAGCATAACTACAGCATTCCTGCTTTTAAAGTTCTTGTATGGGGAATAGACTTCATTGGTTATTATATAATATTATTGGCATTTCATGTATGCTAAGCTTTTGTTTCCATTGTTAAATGCAATGTTAAATATTCAACTTTCTAACTGCACAGTATAAAAGTAATGTTGCTTTGTCTGTTAATCTGGCAAGGAGGCTTCCCAATATAAAAAATGTCAATTGTGCAGGAATAAACCTCAAATCAACAGTCAATCAAGTATATTTTTCTGCTAAGTTGTTCAAGGTTTTCTTGAAGTGAAGCCATGCCTATCGTTTCTTTGCTGGGTTCAGTTTCTTGGTCCAGGCAAATGGAACAATGCATTTTTAATCTCTTCCCAGTGTTTGCAAATGGGAGTATAAATATTAAAATATTTCATATTTGACGTTTTATTATTTTTTAAGTTGTTCTTTGGGCCAATTTTCTGTAGAGGGAATGACAGATATGGGCCATCACCCCATCTGTTTTGAAAATCTAAGAAAAAAAGGAAGAATCTTGTGGCAAATTGCCACTGTACCCTATGCCAGAATGGTGGAATATTCCAAATGGAGTTATTTTGTTTTGAACATGAACCAAAGAAGCAAAGGATTTCCCTTCTTCATTTTAAATAGGTTTTTATATGTGCAGTATATTATACACACATTAGTGCTCAAACTAATGACTTCTGGAAAGCCATTTCAATGATCTCATGAGAGCCAATTTGCTTTGCTCTAGTGGTTAAGGCACCAGGCTCAAAACCAGGAGATTATGAGTTCTACTTTCACCTTAGTCATGAATACCAGCTGACTGGCTTTGAGCTAATCAGTCTCTCACAGCCAACCTACCTCACAGGGTTGTTGTGAGTAAAATAAAAGGAAGAAGTAGTATTGGGTATGTTTATTGCCTTGAATTATAAAAATAATAAAGGCATGATAAAAATTAATGAATACTGTATGGTATTTTTAAAATTGTATTTTTATCACATATTGATAGAAAATAGTTATTGACTATGCTAATTTTCTAAAACTTGTTCTGTTTCAATAACATTTTAGAGTTGTTTGCAAGCATGAAAAGCTATCAAATCTGATCTAGCATCTTTCCAGAGATATCTTGCCCTTCACTGAGAACCTTGCTGTACTGCCCACCTAATCTTCCACTAATATTTATCACCCACAGAGCTATAAGTATCTATGATTCTTCTGAAATTCTTAAAAGACTAAAAAAAGAAATTATTTCCATTTTCATTACTTGAAGAATGGAAATAATTGTTGATACAAGACTGTTGAGTGACATTATCAACATATGTCTGTAGAAACACCAGATAAATTCTTTGGTTGCAGAATCATGGTGTTGTACATATTAAAACACAGACTTCTCATTCTAGCAACTTGTATCACCTGATAGAAAACATTACAGAAGGCACTCTCAATAATGGCACATGTCAGTTGCAAAAGGACTGAACAAAAAAAGGAAGCTTTGTAATCAGACAAGTTTCCTTTGAATATATAAACAACACAGACTCTCCCTCTCTCCCTTCCCATTATTTCCTATATATTTTAGCCTACATGTTAGAATAAAATAAAATCTGAAGGCAAGTAAACAGTACACTAACAAGATACTGGTTTTTTATTTCTGTAGAAAGAAGCAGAGTAATATTTTTAGTTACACTTCTTTTATATTTCTAATGTTTTCTCTATTTAACTAGCAGTAAATGCACAAAACTACAAATTAAGATATTTTATGTTGTCTGAACTGTGTCTCATTTGGACCTTTAGACCCTATGTCAACAACAACAAATCAAACATATAATAAAATTACTAATATTTAAACAAACAGTCTAGAAAACATCCTTGCATGCTACCAGGTGCCATAGTTAAGAAATGCTTCAATCAATTGAGAATGATCTTTATTTTTTCATAGCAGCTTATAAATCCAGAGAGAAGATGTAAACATGCATACACTAGACTAAACAATGGCTAAATAGCAGCGACTATTCTCTCTCCCACTTGCACATACCAAAAAAAAAAAAATCTCTGGGAAAAAAAACGTACAAATAAGTTGCAGCAACTCAACTCAAGTTTTCTGAAAATAACCTAAAGCTGACAAGTTAGTAGGAGGGTCTGGATGGTTTCAAGACACAGTTTTTAACTCAGAGTTGGACTTCTAACTGTTTTTTTAAGGAAAGATTTACATCCTTTTCTTGGCTAAATTACTTGTAAATTAATCACATTAATTACTTTGAGAGGATAAGCAGGAGGCTGGACAAGATAGAGACAGTGTCAGCCAATAAAGTCTGTGTTTGGTAAAACAAATGTGCTGGTTTTCCTGCAGACAAATCCCCCATATAGTACAAAAATGGTAAGACTTAAACTCTTTAATAACCACTTATCTCAAATGTACATACTTTGAGTTTTTACAGAAACATTCAAAATCCAGACAGATCCTTCTGTAATCACCAAGTTGGATTGCAACATTCTTTCTAGCTATAACTTCAAAAGCAATATGCTGTAAGTTTTCTAATTTAAAGTTTCTTATAGCAATAAAAATAACTTTTTTGACAAAAGCTCAAACTGGAATATTAATATATTTTGGTTATGTCAATTCTGTAATAAATTTAATTTTACATATTGACGTACATGCTTTGATTAAAAAGGATTTCTTTTTATGTTCCAAGTGGAAGTCCCCTTTTTTATGCACGAATTCAAATGCATTATACATACAGGAACATCATGTAATTAAAAACAGTAATTTCTGCAACTGCTGTAAAGAGTACAGATTCAAAATGCAAACCAAATCACCTTGCTTCAATGTTAACATACAAATTTTGAAACGAGAGGTCTGCCATTTTCTCTAGAATATATCTGGCACAGTTGTCTTAAATAGCAACTTTTCTGCAAGATCTTTTTGTATTCTCCAGCCTTACTTTTCTGGCCAACTGCTGTTGATTTATTATCTTATAATTTCCCCCAAAATTGTTCCAGGACAGACTGTAGTTCTTAAATAAGAACCATGTCACTTGCCCACTATATTATATGAATACTCTATTATAACTGCGAGGATCAACCAGGATACACCAGGAGATTGCAAGCCCTAGGTAGATCAGAACCCCAAGGTCCACCATATTCCATATCCTTTAAAACTCTGCATAAGCCTATACAAACTCCAATCCCCATTCCCAGATCATGTAAGCCATGCCAATTTGTGAGAGCAATTTCATGAAACATCTAGGCCTTTTCCAACTTGTGTTGTCTAATGTTGGTTGAGAATTCTAAGAATTGCCACCACAATGCATCTAGAAGGCTTCAATTTGAGAAAACAAATATAGGAACTATATCACTAGCGGTACAGTAGCTGCGGTTCTCTAGCAATCTATCAGAAGTCTAGTGGCTCCCTTTTCAACTTTTTTTTAAAAATTAAAAGACAGAAACTTTCATGAGTTTCAGGTCATTTCATCAAATCCATTATAATAAGCTGTACCTCTCAAAAGATTACAGAGTTTAATAACATTTGTTAGTTGGAAAAGATGCTATAAATTAACTCTACTCGCATAGCAGCGATCTATGAGTCTTCCACCCAGAAAATGTAGACTTACCTGTATACCTGTTACCTCTGACTCATAAATATTTTTTTTTTGGCTTGTTGAATAAATCAGGGTTTAAAATCTTGTCTCAGTATTATAGATGACTATAGTTATTTAATTGACGGCAACTTTTAAAGCCAGTTGCTGTAATTCTGCTTAAATTAATACTAGCATGATGTTACATATTTCTGGAGTAGAAATATGTAATTTTTTATGTTTATATTTTAATAACTCCATTAGAAAGGACTGCTATTGCCCTTAGCAGAGAAAACTGGGAGTAGAAGCTAGTAATTAAATAGAAGGATATTATGCAAAATACTTGCATATTTTACATGATATCCTATAAGTCATATTTTTATTATGCATTTCATTTTTTATTAGAAATATTTCTAAACAGTTCTTTGGCAGTGGCCACAAAGCATTTTATCTCCTTTCAAAAATCTTGTCAGTTAGGTTTTATCATTAACATTTATTAACAACTCAAGATACTGTTTTCTGTGTCTAATTCTCACTATACAAATGTTTTGTGCAGATCTCCAGTGAATTCAGGAGTGATACGATTTTGGCAAAAATTGCTGGCTATTCATGGGAATCAATATAAAATTAATGATATTAACCCAAATTAAACACAAACAGACACAAATAATAAAACTTTAAGCAGGCTTAATATTCCTTAAGATTCACAAAATTTGAATTTCAATAATAGAAGAATCTTTAAGCTTAACTTTAGCATAAGCTCAAAAGAAAAAAAAGGTATGCTCAGAAGTTAAAAAAATATTTTAATTGGATAAGCATACAAATATTTATATATTTCTGCACTTCCCCTTGCATGTTAAAATTACATCAAATAGGTTAACTACAATTGTGCTAGGCAGTGGCCACCAGCCTTTCTGCCACCAAGGATCGGTTATGGAAGAAAAATTGTTTTCCATGGACAGGGAAGGGGAAAGGGATGGTTTCGCACATAACCTACATCCTGCACATGTGCAAGTGGAGCTTTGCTTGTTCTCTCGCTGATTGCACGGCCCAGTTCCTAACAGGCCACGGATCGGTACCGGTTTGCAGCACTGGGGTTGACAGCCTTGGTTAGGCATACTACTAGGTCCAGAAAAATATACTTTAAGTATAACAGCTCATGCAATGCAATTTTCAGGAACTGATGGCTGAAATAAAGCTAACAAGCTTACTTGAACCGGAAAAGTTATCTGTACACATTATTGTAGAGAAAACACTAACAAATACACAGTAACTCACTTGATCTATGTGTATTATAATCCCTTAAGTAACTAAGAGAGCCAGTAACTCAAAACCTCATTTTCTAAACTGCAGTAGTTTAAATATCTAAGTACTATATCCAGTTTGTATTTCACAAATACACCCAATTAAAAATGAGGTAGTGTTGGAATATTTCTAACAAGTGGCCTTCATTATTTGCAGTTCTAGTACCAACTGTTTTGAAATCCATCAAATCTGATACTCAATGCATTTTGACATGAAAATTTTGTCCCAATGGTCATCATTTGTTTGGTACTCAAAGCATAAGCTACGACTTGTTGGTTTCAGCTGTCTTGTGACTCACTACATTATTCTTTATGGGAAATTTTGTTTGGTATTCATTGTTTTTGGTATTCAGTGTGCCTCCCGGAATCAATTAACAATGAGTACTGAAGTACTACTGTGTATGCAAAACTCAGTTCACTATTTTGCCTATCTATAAAATAACATCCAAAATAGTAAATACATTTACTACAGATAATAAAGTCTGTTTTAAGAAGTGCAGATACACAAAATTGCAGGTAACAAAGTTCATTTGCACATCAGAATTATATTATCAAATTACTATTTCAAGTCAGGATAATAACATAGGATTCTTCAATTGGTTCGAACTGCAATTTCCATATATCCTGGCCCTGGGCATAACAATTGAGTTTAATTTGAAGCGTAACCAAAACATCTCAAGAGTGACACAATGTTCCAGATTAGTTTGCCTCATAAAAATACACCATTCTATGTTGAGTTCTGGCACAGACAGGATGTCAGTAGGCACTGCTATTCTCTCCAACCATAAAATATATTGCAATACTTTAAACATTATTTTGCTAGTACCTCCAATAGGTTGTTCAATAAAGTAATTTTGTGGAGTGGTAGCTTTGGTTCCACCAATATGAAGGAAAGCATGTTCTTCCCACTGTTGTGTTATCAAGACTTCTGCCTAAAATTTTTCTTTAAAGTTTAGAATTTTATGTTTTGAAAGGCACAACTATATCTGTTCTTGAATAAATTTGTCACAAATCTAATTAATAAAAATGGCAAGCCATTTTTTTTTAGGCCTCACTTTTTACATCCTACTACTTATAATTTCTTTACAGTAGAAATTAGAAGGAATTGGATACAACAGAGGAGTATAATAAAATGTGCAATTTCAGTGAAGTAGACTTAATAAAACTTTTCATTTCAAACGCTGATGAAAAGAATAATCAAGAATGCTTGACTAGATCAATTATTAGATTTATCCAGCAATTCCTACCTCCCATATGGAGAAATTCCTTGTGCATTCATTTACTTTATTTTTATTACACACCTGTTTTAGCCTTGCTAGTTCCTTCAAAGCTCGGGCCCATTGTTGCTTATAATGTAGCTTTGCTTTAGTAGCCGATTCCAACTTTCTTTCAAGATCCCCCTAGTAAAAAATATCTTATCAATATACAGTACAGTAAAAAACAAACAAACCCTGAAATAATCTTTACACAATCAGATAGACAGAATTTGGATTCCAAAAGCTGCTTAGTACAATATACACCATTGAACTATTATGCAACTTGATATAAATATTGTGACATAAAAATAATATTCTATTTGTTTAAGCAAGGACCTTATTTTTATTGTCAAACAAAGCAAAACTAGATTAATTACATTCCAAGACAGTTTGTATAAACAGTTTTTAAACATTTCAAAAGGGTTAGATAACATTTATTTTTGCAAAATAAACACTAGCTATTCATTTTTTAGCTTAATTGAGTATGAAATGTCTTTGTATGTATTATTAGTGAATCGCAGTTAATGTTTGTTTTCTATTGTAAGGTTAAATCCTCAATGTGAAAGATCACATTTTTGTAATAAATGACTACCTGCCTTCAAAATTAGCAGAAAATGCTAATTTTCTAAAATGCTGTTTGATTTGTTTCTTATAGTAATACTGCCATTTGGACAGTCCATTCTTAGTCCATTCTTAAACATCTGCTTTAGCTATGAAAAACTGAATTATACTATTGATAGCTTCTAGACCCTTATGTTGTTAATATTAGGTTAATAAACTAATGTACTAAGTCATCAAAACAAAGCTTTGGCCTCAAATGAATCATGATTTTGGAGTTATCAGTAATAAAATAATTTGAAAACTACACCAATAAATTAATAAATAAATCACAGCTTACAGAGGGATGCTATCACTGGCTGTTTCTCTGTACAGTATTACTTTGCTTTGTCCACATTTTGGGTGCTGTTAAATTTAAAATTGATTTCCTGCTTTTCTTAAGCGAGTTTTAATGCGATAAATGCATGATGTGCTTTCAGAATGAATACAATTGAAAAGTAGGTGGGATTAGAAGTTGACAGTTGTACCTTCTCTAAAGTTAGAATGCCTATTTCTGATTGCAGTCGGATTTCCGGTCTGTTACTCTGTTGCTCCTTATATTGCTGAAATTCTTTCTCCAGAGCCTTATGCTTATTTTCTGCTTCATGTAGCTGTTTTCAAAAACAAATAACCTGAATGTATTTAACATTTGGATAACACAGAGCTGAGAGGAACATTTTTTTGGCCAACACAACAGATACTACATTTATAATATATGCTTATAGACCCCAAAACTTCTCCAGAGCTTATGAAGTCCTCCAGAAGAACAGATTTAGAGGGAAAACAGAAAGTGAAAACTATAGTTCATCAAACACAGCCCTCTGGTAACTTGGATTTAGCTCTGTGATTTGCTCATCACTGGGGGGAATAAAACCATTCTTGGGAACAATACATACACCTTGCTTAGGAAAGTTACTTAACTGCAGGTTAAACTCAACAGAATCTAGAGATTTTGTCAGTGGTTGATGTGTATACATGTTGTTGTACTTTCAGGCACAAAACAACACGGAGGATAATTAAATACAAAATTATAAATCTTAGTTCTGATTAATTTACAAGGTTATAGTTTCATTTCTGCACTAGTAGTAATGCTTCTTACTTTCATATAAAGCATATATTTTGTCTCAAAATGCACTAAAAGACACTAGTTCATGATATAACTTAGAAAATATATATATATAGTGTTTCCCCAAAATTACAACCTACCTAGAAAGAAGTCTTAGCTGGATTGTTTGCATATGCACCCAATATAAGGCCTACCCCCCCCAAATAAGCCCTAATTAAGACTCTGCCCACTCCAGGGTGCACAGGTCAAAATTAAGCTAGGGTGGGGATGGGGGGGCCTGGACAGTTGCAGCCAGGTCTTGTGCACTCTGAAACCTGCCTTGCTGGCCATTTCTTTTGCAGCCGGCTTTTGCTGCCAATAACAGAGCTCCAGATAAATCTGGCGCTGTTATTGGCTACAGAGGCCTTCAGGAAACACTTGCCGACCACAGAAAAAGATCCTGAAGGCCTCTGACAGTGAAAAGGAGGTTGGAGGCGATGCACACAAGTGAGGTGAGTCAATGGATGACATCCCCCTGAAAATAAGACCTGGTGCCTTTTTTTGGGAGGAAAAAAATATATAAAGACAGGGTCTTATTTTGGGGAAAACACAGTGTGTGTGTGTGTGTGTATGTGTGTGTGTGTGTGTGTGTGTGTATATATATATATATATATATATATATATATGTGTGTGTGTGTGTGTGTGTGTGTGTGTGTGTGTGTGTATATGTGTGTATGTGTGGTATTCAGCTTTGTTTGGGTATTTTCCCACATCATTATAGTTGTGCTTTTAAAGTTGTAGCAACGTTTTGGCAGAATCTCATCTGCCATCATCAGGCTTCTGTATAGTGTTCGTAAAGTATGATCTGAGCTGCTGTCTCTCTATAAATACTGGTGGGGAGGTATTTATAGAGAGACGGCAGCTCAGATCATGCTTTGCTCGCATAAGCATGAAGCCGAAAGCACCAACCTGAAGATGGCGAGTGGGACCTCGTTGAAACGTCTTCAAGATACTCTCAATCTTATACGGGAAAAGACCCGATAAAAATGTTATGGTGAGAATGTGGGAGTTAGCTTAATGTTTCTATTATGGACAATACAGTTAGATGTTCGGATTGACCATTAAAACCACTTTTTACTTTGTCTTTGTGTGGAAGTACTTTCTTAGAAAATATGCAGGATTTCTGCTCTTGTTTCAAGTGAGGAAAGAGAACATGTACTGCTTTTTGCTTGGTTTTATTTTTTCGTGTTACCAACAGCTGACATATGTGTTATTCTTACATTTTATATTAAAAATTTAATTACTGAATATGAACAGAATGTATGGTTTTAATTATGAATGGCTGCAATAAAGTTTAAAACAACATATGACTAGGAAGAAATAATTCCTACAAGGCTATCCCCAATATACACGTGCATATGCACACATACAGATGGAAAAGCTATAGGAAATGAAAAATCCACATGACCAAAACAAACAAATATGTAATAGATACAAAAATGCTGTTCTGTGAGGTTTTTAATGTCAAATCCCCACAAAGTTTGATGCTGAACAATTGAGAAGCCACTGATAAATATATAGTTGATCTTCAGAATTAAAGAAAGGGATGCTTCAGTTAGCAATGCCATTCTTAGACAATTTAGATATGTATTAGTCAAACTGATAGCAATAATACACTTACTTTTAAATTTTACATCTATTTCTAGTATTAATAATTTAGCTATGTTGGAAAATATGAACAACTCCTACTTGTTCTTGTGCATGGATCTTGTCTTCTTCAAATTGCCTAATTCTTGTCCTTTCCAGTTCAATCTGGTGTGCACATTCTTGTCTGACTCGCCGTATTGTATCTTGAACTTCCTGCTGATTTCGTTCATGTTCTGCTTGGAGTTCCTTCTTTAACCGCTGGAGCTTAAAATGAGGTTTTATAAAAGCAGTTTAAAAGCATGCATTCACCTCTGAACAACTTAACATTTGGCAATACTTTATAAATGTGTCCATTTGTTGGTTTGTACTCTCAAAATCACTGCATAAAGCTAATTTTAACTTTTTAATAAAGCACAACATCACTTTATCCAGCTATCTTCATCTAGAGAGCTTGAAATAGGTTTTATAATGTTTAATAAAAGTATACAAAGATATACCTTGTCAATAAGCAAAACTTACACATAGAAAATAAAATGTTGTATTTTATGCCAATTTTCAAACGATCTGCAAAGAAAAAAACCCCAAATCCATATTGCTGGCAAAAATTATAGTACAAAAATAACTTAAATGACTGGAAATCGCGGTGATGAAAATATTGTTTTTTTTTTAATGTACTGTACAATGGATAGCATAGTTTGGCATCCATTTACCTCAGTTTCAGCACTGACCAGCTGTTTTTCACGTTTTTCTAAATCAGTTAAAGTTTTCTGAAGTTTTTCTTCCAAAACTGTATACTCTGCAACCTAGCATATGTAAAAGAAAGTAAAATAGACAAAATGGGAAATCTGAAGTATTTTTAAAAATGTAACCAACATATTGCCCTATTAGTAGAATGTCTCAAGTTTTGATACTCTAATTAACGCTGGATTTTGAAGAAGCAGTACAGAAAGAGGATTTATGCTTTTGAACTTTGTTGAGGAAAACTAATAGTATCACAGAGCCAATTATGCAAAGATGCACAATTAGGCTCTTCCATACCTAATGAATTCTGAAGTATCAATATAGATTATCTGTTTTTCTAACAGTGTACTGCCTTAATTTTTGTGTCAAAAAATATCAAAGGATCCTAGACTATAACTCTGTGTATGATTTATTTAAGTCTTTCAGACTTGGTGAACCCTTTGCATTTGTATAAAATGAATGAATAAATCATCCTGTTGTTACAATGAGAATAATGCTTCATTGAAGCGTATATTGCCATAGCATCAATTTGTTATATTCTAGGAAGACATCCTCACATATGAGTTTGATTTTGAGACACGTTTTAATATTCAATATTAAAATATTTTAATATTGAATATTAAATTTATTAAATATTTATTATTTGAATGTTATATCTGATACCTACTACAAAGAAATGGATGACTGGACAACAGAAATGGATTCCCTCCATCTCTATTATGGTTTAGAGAAAATAGACATGTTGGCTGTCCTTTTTATGCACTTAAGAGGAATAAAGAATAATGCAGCTTAACATGTGAACAGTAATACATTCTGTTGTTTCCAAAAAGAGCTACCTATAGTATTTTTATGCAATTTATCAGTTATAGAAAATTCTTGACAGTTCTTCTCTTTAACGTTTATTATGGTAAATGGTCTCAAAAGACAATGACATATGAGAATTCTAAAGTGAAAGTACTTACTTTTTTCTTTACCAAGGCTTCTCTTTCTCTATCCCTTTTTTTCCACTCTTCTGCCAGTGCCTGCATATGAGCCAACTCCTTCTTCTTCAACTACAAGAAGTTTTATTTTTATTTTTATTTTTTTTGGGGGGGGAAGACAACTTACACAATCCTATCATTAATCTATTGATCTTTGTTTCCACTTATGATATCATGTACAGTCAAAGTTATCAGATATAGCACAGAATACTTAAATTTGAAGACCTATTACCAATAGATAGTTCCTCTAGGTGAAAAACTAAATTTAATGAGATCATTACTAACAAGTACATGTGCACATACACTGTATAATTTGTATTTATCTGGATTTCATCCTGGTACTTGGTTTAATATGTATATTATTTCACAATAAGAAAGCCCATGAATAGGAGATTCTGCATAGTTAGATCAAAACATTAATATTCTGGACTTTCAATGTAATATTATTGTTAATGTACATTATATCATAATGAAAATCTATGATCTGTAAGAGAAATTGCCTGTCTAACTCCCACTCCAGTTAAACAATTCATGAGAATAGCTTAAATTAGATAATTTAAAATCTGAAGGTCGAATCCTGAAGCAATAGCAAGTAAAGATTTCTTGGATGTCTATCATGGTCATTTTGTTTTATGTATTTTGCCTGTTTATCTCTTGGAAGAATAGCTTCTGTAATTTTATCCCACATTAATCAAATGACCAGTGAACTCGAAAGCTCTTATTTGTATCCTAGAATTCAATCATGGAGCTCTTTGTTTTAGCACACTTTGGTTATGTCTAAGTTCATTTAACCGTTAGATTTGTATCCTGCTTTACATCTAAAGATATATTCATGGCATGCATGAATATCTTCTATTTTCCCACAACAAATCCTGAAGGTCACTGAAAGTGACAGTGACTGGAAGTGAGATCTGCAGATTCTACTGTTTTTTTCAGTATGAAAACAATCTGCTGCTTTTGTGGGTGGATGTGTGGTATATCACCCAGTGAATTACAATGCTGACGAAGGCCTTAAACCTCTCTCTCCCAGGTCCTAATCCAATACTTTAACCCAAAACCACACTGGCTCTCCTCTGTATTTTTTATCTTTACTTTGTAATTACTCTACATTTAAATATTGTCAGCCTTTGGGAACAATCTGATGTGTCTGATCTTTCTTTATAGGTATACTGCATTAAGAGCCTTTTGCTTCTAGACTTGCCTTCTGCATTGGGGGTTGTCACAACTAATATTTTTTCCTCTCTGTGCTACTTTGCTATCTTTTATGTATCTGGCTGTGGTTTTTTGTTTTTAATATTAAAGCATTTCAAACCACAAGAAGTATTCATTCATTGTGCTTGCCCAATGTTATAGCAAAATCAGTAACTAAAGGACTGAAGGTTCTTATTTCTTTCATTTGTCTAAGTAGGCCCACAGTTTAGCAAAAAATTATGAAATAACCTGATTCTCAAAAAGATCTTCTTGTAGTTCCTTCCACATTTCTAATTCAAGTGCTGCTTTATATTCCAGAGTTTCTCTTGGTTCAGTTTGGACTTCAGGATGTACTTTAGGAACGCCTAGTAACTCATCAGCACCTAAACACTAAACATGGGATAAAATTAATACTTTCAAATGATTTTTGATTAAATGCTTTCTCTCTTAACTTGAAATGATACATATCCATTTACCCGAGGAGAATCAGACACCAGAACTTCATGCATTTTCACAAGTCCAAAATCTTCTAGAGTCACTATATAGGAGAGATCTGCAATCTTATTGCTTGGCCTATAAAGCAATAACACATTTCTTTTTTCATTCAGCTGTAAAAGAAGTTCTTGCACAAACAATAAAGAGAGAGAGAGAGAGAGAGAAACATTTTTCAATGATAAAACTACATAGCTATAATATTTTGACATTAAACAGGATTTCCCTCTTAATATAGAAGTATATTGTTTTTTAATTTCATTCTTCTATATTGTTTTTCTTAAGGATTGCCCAGAGTCTTCTAAAAGCTCAGGTTCTTACATCTTGACCTGGTTTTTCAAAAAATTGAGATAACTTGGTACATGCTGAAAGACCATTTGCAAGATGTGTTACATTTAAACAAAAAGCAGAGAATTATTTTGCATCAGATTTGCTGGTCCATGCTCCAGATGAGATGATGACTATTAATCCTATGTATTAATATTTTAATAATGTATCAAATGTCCTCAAATTCTATTAATATTTCTTTATCTTAGATACATCTACATATATTTCAATTGTATATAGCCACACATGCTAATTTAATCAGTCCGTATAAGAGTGCTAATGTTTTAAGAACAAACGCTTTAGCGTTGTAAGATACTCTTTCTCTTCCTGCACAATTAGGAAAACCAGTTTAAAAATCCAAATATAAATAGGATATCTAAAATAGTCCAACCTAAGCAGAGAACCCTAGCTACTTCATTACATTAGAAAATTGAAGAAAATAATTATTTACCTGCATCAGTGGCTAAAGCTAATTAGATCTGAAGCAGTACCATCTAGTGGCTGTTATATTCAGCTACATTGCAATTCATGATTTATCTTAACTAGCAATATTGGAATATCAAATCTGAATAATCAACTACAATTTGGAATACAAATATGTTCTCCTAAAATGAAAAAGGTGTACAAAGTATTAATGCAGTATATTAAATTATTAAATGAGGATTAAATAATGAAATTATTGAATAAATATTACATCATTAAAAACAGATTTGTAAGCTTGAAAAACAAAAAAGTAAAAGCTTCAGTCTAATCATGCATAAAACTAAACACTGAATTTTAATTACAGCTAGTCCTTGCTTAATAACCACAACTGGCACCAATTCCATTGCTAAGCACTACAGTCATTAAGTGACACATCATGTGACAGTAATGGGATTACACTTCTGTGATGCTTAAGGAAATCACCCGCAGTTGTCAAGGGAGTCATAAATGAGAGTGACTTATTATTTTACTGCTGGCTTCTGCTTGACACTTCTCGTCAGAAGCCAGTTGTGAAAGCACACAAATAGCAATCATTCAAGTGGGGGGATGCTTTGACAGCTATAAATGCCTTGCAATTGCGAACTGCTCAAATCTCGATCACATGGCCTGAGGAAGGTTGTGTGATTAGTCATAAAGTTATTTTTCAGCACCATCAAAACTGAAGCAGCTGCTAAGCAAGAAAGATTGTTAAGCAAGCAGTACCTGTATAATGTAGAATGTGTCGATGGCAATATTTCTCAACCTTAGCAACTTGAAGATGTATGGAGTTCGGTTCCCAAAATTCCTCCAACCAACATGAGAACTGAAGTCTATATGTCGTATTTGTTGAGGTTGAGAAACATTGATTCGTGGTATTAAGAAGAATTGGTTTTACTGCAGGAACCCCAATTTTTCAAAATATTTACCCTTGTGCTGCTGTAAAAGGAATAGTTTCACTGAAGGTCTGACGCCAACACTGCTCGCCATTTCCTCCTAGAAAACGTGTTTTTTCCATGGACAAAACTTTTGAAAGTTGGAGTCTTGCAACTCCTAGAAGCAAGTCTTTAGTTGTTTTATCTTTATGCCACAGTTCCACCAGCAATGGTAACCTGAAGTACAGGAAGAAAATAGGTAATTTGTAAGATACTTTTTCGTCTATCTTCCCCTACTTTTCTCAGTGGTAGTATGCATCTTTTATTTCTCAAGTGCCACTTTGCATGGAATTAAAGTGAAAACTATACTGTAAGTACTATAACCCAGTTACACAAAAAAGGAAACGAAGAATGCAGTAAATTTTTCCACAAATTAAAGTATTTTAATTAGATTGTTTAGCTTTCAATATAAACAAATAAATGCAAAAACGCTTTAAATGTACAACACTTGAAATTTAAAGATACTCATATTTGTGACTTATTCATATTTGATGAATTGCTATGGCAATTCATCCTAAAAGAAATCAAAGTACTGCAATATGTTTTTAGACTTCATCTGCCATCTTTTGTTTTATGATTCTAAAAACAGGAGGCAATTCTAGATTGGAACTTCAATGCAGTTGTTATTTTAATTTTTCCATTCCTAAATGTTTAGCTATTGACATTTGAAAGTTCATTGTAACATATTTGCATTGTCACAACAGCTGTCAGGATTCATACTCTGATATATTTACTTTTTCAATTAACAAGTATTATTTCCTAAAAGTACATTCAGTTTAAAGTAAGCATTGCTAGTTTTATAGGATTCAGTTGTTTAACCTGAATCACTACATGATAAAATACAGAATCCTTTTCATGACAGAAGCAGGCAAAGACTGAAATACTGGACATATAATGAAATCCTTTTTTCCACCATGAATTTCCTTAGCTGGTATTCTTCTCCCAAGAATAATTTCTTTTTTAAATGTGCCTGTTGGCATCTATAAATAAGAATGATCTTTTAACCAATTAAGGGGCTGATAAACAATATTAGTAACAGAAACCAAAGAATAGAACAGTAGCACTGATATATCAATAAACAAAACCTCCTCCTTCCAAGATTAGAAGTACAAATTCAAATGTCCATTAAACTGTTGAAGCAGGAGAAAAAAATTAAATTGACATGGCTACAAGGGTCTCCATGTTGTGTTAACAGAGAAGCATTGTTTAAAATGGCGTGTTCCACCATACAGTACAGATTTTTTTTTATTTACCTGAACTGGATGGTACGCCCAGGAAGCTTCTGTTACAGAGCACAAAAGTCTGTGTAAGAATCTCTTGATGAGTGGACGTGTTTAGGTTAGTCTTAATGTTATTCTTAAATACCTCTGTGCAGATAGGAATAGTAACTTGAATCACCAAGCTTGCTTTTAAAAAGTCATTATTTGAAAAATGGCAATGACAATGGACAAAAAGTACAACAAAAAGTGTGCTTAATGATTTTGAAAATCCAGACAACTGGACTATGTACAAGAGGCTAAAAGAGTTTGAATGGGGGCTGCATTGCAATCTAAGGTCCACAGTGTTTGTAATCGACCTACAGCCTAACTACTAAAACCAAACTTGATCTAGATGGAACAGTATCCCTGATTGAGAAGGTCCAGACTGATGTGGAGAGTCCATGCACAGCTGCTGTAACTAAATATAAAAATCTTCTGAGCCACTTGGAAGTCACCAGGATTATTTCTATCTTCTCCAGATATTGTAGAAAAGAGAGTGATGAGAAGATATTTTGATAATTTGTTTCAAGAGCATCCTAGGCTAATATGTCTTCTACGAAGAATCAGGAAATGAATTGGAACAACTTGCAGCTGACTAGCAATGCAAAGAGGTCTATTTAAAGTTTGACAAATCTCATGGTGATCTCAGTAGCATTGGAGGATCTGCTTTCCAAGATTCATGTTGAATAGACTGAGCCACTGTTCAATCAGTACCGCTTCCAGGGAAAAAGAAGGAATTGCCTTTCAGATCCCTGGGGAAAGAATACTGGGATCAGAGAGAGATTCAGTGAAGATTACTTGTCTGATCTAGCAACAGAAATCCAGATGGAGTGGCCCCACCAATTTCATGGTGAGGGAAATATTTTCCACAATGCTGCTTCCATTCATCTGGTTTCAAAATAGGATCAACCAACATCATAGCCAAAGGTAATAGCTCCTGCCTCCTCCTATCCAACTGACAAAAATACTTCTTGGTATGAGTAGGAGGAATAGATTTCCCAATAAGGCTGTGCTTGAAGAACTTAACTGAAATAGCAACTCTAGCCATTTAAGACTCTTCTGATATGATCAGAAATTCAGGGATTTTCTGGATTGTCAGAGATCCAGAGAAATTGAGATTTAAAATATGGATGTAGAAAAATAAGAAAGTGTAAATTTAATGAAGAGTAAAAACGGGGTGGGACATTGCTCTCTAACTGATACAAAAGAAAACTATTTGATCTTGCTTACTGGAGCAATGGTAAAATATGTGTACAAAGGATACTTTTCAATCAGAAATAACGACGGTTTTATTATAATGGTGACTCTGGACAGAGTCACTTAGGTTAGATGGGTGGTGCATAAATAATAAAACTATTAAATTCAATACTTTCTCTGCATTTTCATTGTTACAAAACTAACAACCTCTATTAGTTCCTGCAATGGCGTACAAATTCTCATCTTTGAAAACAATACCACAAATTTCTGTGAGGCAATTAGGGCCCCAGTCTCTTTATCTGCCACCTGGCTGAATCTATGATGACAATTTGTTCTATTTTTTTCTGTTCATTAATCTATGATTGGCATAGGTCAATTCAAAGTTATAAATTCTGTTCTTCATAAAAAGGTAGGATCACATATTTTTAAAACAATCATAATTTCTTTTTAAAAACACATTGCACAAACATAGGAACAAGATACATATGCTATCTGAACAAACAAGTGATTTAGAACAAATTTTAAATAGTAAACATTTTAGTACAGAAAACTTAGTTTGCTTAAAAGTGAAGATATTAATGTATCTATTATTAAAAGAATATCTCAGTATAAGTTACCTGCAAAAGGTATCTTGAAGCTGATGAGGCATAGTAGCAAAATCAAAAGCACAGTATGATTGTGGAAGAAATACTTCCATGTTTTTTCTTACTTCCACAGGAGGATTTGTCATAATGGGTGCAGCACTGCCAAAAAATGGGTATGAATACCTATGGAGGAAGACAAAATTAATATCAAATCAATCTGACAATTTTAAGCAAATTTCAGGAAATATATTCTAGATCTATATCTTAAGATTTTACATTGTTTTATATATCAAAAATAAATCATGCCTTCCCAAAGAACTACAGTGTAAAACGTTCATACCTTAACATACAATTAACAGGAAATCCAGCATCCAGATTATGGACAGCTCTTAAATCTACCGAAAAACAAAAATGATGGGATGATGCAGGAACAGCAATTTTTTGTCCTGTAGTGGATTCAGAAGTACTGGGATGTTGAGTCTGAGAAGCAGGCATTTTAGTTTTCAAAGCTGCAAATATAAACACAAAATATAAACACCAAAATATAAACACCTTTATTGTTCCAATAAAGACTTCTCAATCTCTGATATTGGCCGCCTGCAGTTTGGCAGTGCAAATCCCACTTGGCTCAAGGTTGACTCAGCCTCCCATCCTTCTGAGGTGGGTAAAATGAGGACCAATATTGTTGGGGCAATATGCTAACTCTGTAAAACCGCTAGAGAGGGCTGTAAAGTATTATAAATCTAAGTGTTATTGCTATTGCTATACTGTTGCAACAGTTTTAAATAGGTGTAAGTTACTATTACTCTAAGGTGTGATGGCTCAGCAGTTACAGAGGCTGAACTTGTCAGCTGGAAAGCTGACAGTCTGGGTTCGAGACCTGATGAGCTCCTGTTACTTGCCCCAGCTCCTGCCAACCTAGAGTAAGAAAGAATGCAAATGCAAGTAGATAAATAGGTATCATTCAGCTGGGAAAGTTAATAGCATTCTGTGCACCTCAGTGTATATGACATGACCATGGAACTGTCTTTGGACAATGCTGGTTCCCTTGGCTAAGAAAGGAGATGAGCACCACCCCCTAGAGTCTGATTTGAGTGGACAATGGAAACCTTTACCCTTATTACTCTAGTTTTATTTGTTAAAAACACAATTCTCAACCAGATATATATCTACTATTATAGGTTCATAAAAAATATTTCATGTGGCATCTTAAAGATAATTCATGTGATTAAGGCTATATTTCTGTAAGACTAGCATTTACAAAATATATTTCCAGATTTCAAGAGGTTTCCATGTAAGGGCAAAATCATATAAAGCACCCATAAGTTACTATATGCTGTTTACACAGAAAAAAACTGATGTTTTTATACTAACAATTTACTTTAAAATGAAACATGAAACCTACAACCATGAGCAGATGATGCTGTCAAACTAAATATAAAGGATTCCATAGGTAGATTGTAATCACCTGCTGACTCTTTCCATCTACTCAGACCTTTTACAATGCTTTAAATTAGATTAAATCATTATGCAGAGTAACATTTTTTTTTCTATGAGGCTGCTACAAAACAAGATACAAGGCAAGAATAACTTTGGGTTAAGATAATAATAAAGTTATGAGAAATAGGATTGTACAATTATTACCTTTTTTCTTTAATTTTGGATTTTTGTCATACTGAATACTTTCTACTTCACTTTCTGTAGCATCCTCTTTAATGGGAGGAGAATGTTGTGTCTGAAGTAGGATATCTTGAGAGCCATTTTCAGGTCTCCCTTCTTTATCATGTGTTGGAGACAAATCTTTTTTCACATTTTCAGTCTCAGCCTTTGCAGCTGGTTGGATTATAGGCTGAACAAACCCAAAGCAAGATTTATGATTAGCATTAATTTCATTTTCATGTAACAGTGATCATCAGTATATTTTTATTGTATTTTACCTACACTTTAAACATTAACAGAAAGTAACAAAAAATGAGCTGCACCTGACAAACTCTGCCATCCTTTTGAAGTGATACCGATACCCCAACAGTGGGTGCCATATCCAAAGGCAGGGGTGGCAGTTTTTGCCGAGCTCTGTTAGGTGGAACAAGAATAAATGCTCCTTCTATAGCTACTGGATGCTGGCAAATTTCGACACTTCCTTTCTTTAATAAGCTAGTTAAAAGAATTTCAGTACTTCCAAGAGATTGGTCTCCACAGCACAGATGAATCTAAAATTCAAGAGTATTATGAAGAAAAAAAGTAAACAGATCATACTGATTAGTCATATTTAAAGAAGTTACACAATCACCTCCAAATGCAAACACTATTCTTTAAAGAGGATGCACAAGTATTTGTAATGAATCTTAGATTAACTTCTTATGAAAGCAAAGATTCCCCAGAATCTGGGTTTTCTCAGATTGTTTTATTTCCCAAAATCCCTAATGCTTCAAGTCACTGTTTAGCAATAATCACGTTATAGGACATGAGTCACAATTCACAACCCCTACAAGGACAGCAAAACTGATCCAGAGAAATGATACTATTAAACCAGGTAGACATTTAATCATTACATGTAGATGTTGGATCATTTCTACTTAAACACCCCACAAGCAGAGGGAAAGTATAACAAGAACGTTAAAGAATGTCTCCAATTCTGCTGAGGCATGAGCCTATTGAATTATGTTGCTTTTCTGCAGGGCCAAAACTATTGCATGTATGCCAGACTGCATTGTGATTCATCCACAGGATTATTGCCAATGTTAGAAGAAACTTAACTTAGAAGAGGCTTAAATTGTCACAAAAAATGTAAAATTGCTTACCTGCAACTTTGAGTGAGCAAAAAAATAAGCTCTCAGAAATTCAATGCTGCTGCGTATTCTAACAGATGCTCTTTCTGGTTCAAAGTTTGGATTCATCAGGTCAGTAAATGGTTCATTGGTAACATCATTACCAAGTAGTGAATAGTAAAAGAAGAATTCAGGCTGTCGCTCTGGAATTTTCACTGTGGTAGGTATTAACTATTGTGAAGGGAAACACAAAATAGACTATGTGTTCTCAGACTGATCATTTGGAACTATGAGCATTCATCTGCACTTCCACTATAAAGATTCTTTACATTCTACTAAATTTATTTAGGCATTTAAATATTTAGCAAATATAAAATCAGAGGACTCAAAAGATAAGAGTAGCTATTATTAGCTCCTGCTCATAATTTTTTTAGCTATTCCCATCAGACAGAATATAGTTGTTTTAGATTTTTAACACAAGAAAGAGAGACAGTCAGATACTAGGACCATGCCTACTGCAAATATGATTTTAATTTGTATAATCCAGTTCCTCGTTAATACTTATTAAAGCAACTTGTCTAATTCCAGGCTGATGTGACCCCATTGAAAGAAGCAATTACAGTTAATGGAACACAAAGCAGTCACAACTTTTCTTCAAAGTTATATGGATAGCTGAAAAAAAATGGGCAGCGTTAATGAGCAGATGCTCATAAAAGGTCCAAAATATTTCTTTCTAATAATTTTAAAGACTATATGAAATGCTACGTTTGATAATATTACAAGGTCATCATGCACTGTGAAGATCATGCTTTATAAAATCATCTACATGGTAACCAAATAAGAATTTGCATTCACTGCAACAGCCTATTTAAAAAGATGAATCAATATTATTACCTGTTCTAACTGTGTTGCAAATGCAATAGTAACTGAAAAAACAAAATAATCACGACAATATTCTGCTGGTCCAATTTGATGATATCCTTCCTCTTCATTTAGAACAGGTATAAGATTTTTGGGGTCCAATCCAGGAAACTGAAAAGATACTTTAAACAAGAAGAAATTTGACTTGGACATTCTAAAAAAATTGATCTGAAAGTTGTATAGATAACAGAAGCGTTAATAGATTTTTATGCTATGAACACATCCAATGCCAACTTGGTCACTGCATTTTACAAAAGGTCTGCCTCAAGGAATCTAAAACATTTCCTAGTAGTTATAAAAAAACTATAAATTTATCACACGTTTGTGTGCATATATATTATATATTGTTTGATAGGTAGGTAGACAAATAGATAATTTAAAAATATACATATACACATACTTACATACACACTTAACATTTTTAAACCTTGCCTTTTAATAAATTTGTATTCATAATTGGTCAGTTCTTTACCAACTTGGAATAATTTAGCATAATTTGGTGTTAAAAATATTTCCTAAAAATCACAGTTTTTATACTGTAAAGCATTTCTATATATTCATTCCCATGTACTACCAAGTAGAACTGCAATAAAGTATTATACCAGTTTAACTGAAGATCATGAGTGCAGTTATAGCACTGTTCAGAGACAGTGGACACAATGCCTGGATTTTATAAACTGGGTTTACTAGGTTACACAAACAGACTATAAATCAAACAATTTAATACAAAGAGCACAAGAAAATGTTATAAAGCATATGGATGAAAAGAAATTCCACCATATGAAATACAGTACATATTAAAATTATACTTTGCTAAAAGTTACAACGGAATATAAAAAATATTTAGGACAGAGAATAATATAAAAGTATGAAGAGTAAAACTATTGAATAAAGTTTAAATAGGGTAACTGTACACATGCTAAAAATGATTTTAAAAATAGCAGAAAAAATGATTAGAAAAACAAGAAATATTATAAAATGTAATAAAGACAAAAAATTAAAATCCAACACAGAAAAATATAGTAATATGCGATCCAGTTTATAATTCTAACATCTTAATTTTTAAAGTAAATTAGCCCTAATATGGTATTGACATATAGAGTTAGAGTTAAGAGACAATCAGAACTACCATTAAAAGAGATAGAAAGGAATCTGTTCTTTAAGCAAACATTATTAAAAATGAAATGAATTCACAAGATAAATATATCAGTTTAACATATTTTGCAAAGACATATAACTCTATATCAACTTTTAAATAAAAATTATTAACCAGGAATGCTTCATTTTCCAGATATATAATACTGTACACTTATAAACAGTCAGAACTAAGGTCTCAAACTTTTCCAATAGGATTGAGCAGGCTTTTGACTTAACAGGTCTACTTAATCTGGATATCTATCACCTGAATTTAAGTAAAATCAAATAAATAATAAAATTGGACAGACATATATTTAAAATTAGTAAACCAGTATACTAGTTTATTAAGCTGACAAATTCATTTTAGGCACAAAATAACATATGCAATAGAAATAATAACAAATAGAAAGAAGCTGATGAGACATTTGTATGGCAAATTTGCCAACCATTACTGGATCTCGAGTATTCATAGATTTATCACAATTCACAGAATTTCTGCTGTTTTTGATGAAAAAAGGCATTTATTTTACAACTAACCTGCCATTTCTCTGGGAGGTGCTTCTCTTGCTTTAAAACCATCGATGGATGCTTTGGTGTCAGTTTCTAACATCAGATTTAGTTGCAATTCAGGCTTAAATTTTGTGTATTTGTTGCTGAGTAAAGGATACCATTTTGGTGGCTGTAGCAATTTTATTGAAAAAGAGATAAATAATATGCTTACAATAAAGAAGCAATAATGAAGAGCCAACAAAATAATATATTTGCAGTGCAGCAAGATAAATTAAACAGTTAAGCAGGAATATATTATAAGAATTCAAAAATAAAATTAACAAATAATTCTAAGTGGTCATACCCTTTTCATTACAATAATTACGTAACAAAAACATCAGATATGTAGTATACAGGCAGAAATTAATCTATTCTATGTGCTATCAGTTTTTAGTTCAATTTTCCAAAACCAAAAAAATTAAGCAACATGAATATATTATTATGGTCTTAGAGATCTATGAAATTGGAAATAATGTTTTCCCATATTGGTATGATTACCAAGGAATGCTATGAATCAATTGAATTTATCAGTGGAAAGATCTAAAAATGTTTTACTATAGTTTACCCCATTTTTGCATAAGCTTAATAATGTTTCATCAGCTTTTATTTCCATTAACACTGAAAATTTTTCTAAGAAGAGATCGTATCTTCCAAAATAGCACCCAGTGTGATGAGCCAGAGCGTGGCACAAAACTAACGAAGTCACCAAAGTAGATAATTTCCCTTTAATGCCTCCAACCTGGCCCCAATGTCCAATTATCCTCGGCAGGAGATCAAACTCTTCCAAAAACAGTCTAGAAAGGGAAGAAATGCAGTCCAAACCCAAAATACAGATAAAGTAGAAATAAAAAAACCAACACAAACCACGCTGAAGTAATTAACACAACCGACCAGGATAATAACTTGCAGACTTCCAAAAGATAATGAGGCACACAGTTGGGAGAACTGCCAAAACTCAGATAAGCCTCGACAAAAATAATGCAACATAGCAGACTATGGGCTTCAATAAACTCTGGTTAAATCACTATATAGCATCACTGTGTCTCAATGTGCATATTGTGTAATTTAGTTAATCTAAAGCCCAGTTTCACTGAAGAATAAAGCAATATCTTTCCTATACTGCTTTATAACTCCAGGTGGAATCCCAAACTTCTGCACGGAGAAAGTTTCTACCAAAAAAGCTAAATGACAGAAAGTCAAATCACATTTTTTCCTGTGTCTACATGATTTTTTTTTCCTTAATGGAGGATTATCAATTATTTGAAAGCTCACCAGTAATCTGAAATGGTGTAATCCAAACATACATTCAACTCTGTGCAAAGTTAGATCTGGTAATACATTATTATTTAATCTAAATTTTTTAAAAAACTTAATCTGGAATACCAGAAATCATGAGATAGATACAGAATTACAAATACCTGCTTTTTCTCTTGAGCAGTTCTTAAATCTAGCACAATATAACCTATTGTCTCTTTAACTGCAGATAGAGAATCCAAAGCAAAGCACTGCAACTTGACAGGTGTACGCTGTAATCTGTACAAAACATGAATCCCATGTAAGAATTGTTAGCATACATATTAGATTTTGATTTTTTCTTTTGTGAGTTTGACTGCAATTATCTTAATATTTTACATATCTCGGAAATTATAATAATTAAAAGTATTCTCTCACAAAGAGAACAAAGAAAGTTTACTACCATTTTTATTCACAAGAAATACAACCTTTTAAAACTTTTAAAAATAATCATTCCCCAAAGGATGGATAGAAGAAAACTGATCTATTAGTTTGTTCTAGGCAAATAAGATGACAATCTTCCCATTAAAATAAAAATAAAACTGGGAGCATAAAATATTTATCTTTATTTTAGATAAATATAATATTTGACAATCACATATTCCATTACTAGATTTATCTCTTCTATTGAAAAGACATTTGAAAAAATAACAACTGTGGGAAACAACTGATTTTTATCTCCTGTGTCTCTGAATTTTATAGCATTGGCACAGATCAATTTACTATAATTATTATCCATATTATTCCAGGAACCTAAAGAAGGTCAGTGTAATTAAACCATTCACAACTTTTTGAGAAATAACCTGTGTTGGTGAAGTGCTTTCCTGTCAAGTTCCCAAGCTAACTCCGTGGCAAATTCTGGTTGATCAGTATGTTCTACAGGATCTGTAGCTAAATGTTCGCCATCAAACTTTGCTTCTACCACCAGCATACGCTTTGGACGTTTTGGGAAATAACGTCCTAGAACAAAAGAAAAAAGAAAGTAAAATACATTTAAGAAGCTCTGAAATCGAAAAATTGTTATTGTGAAATCTGATTCAAATATGCAAAAACTATTCTTTAACCACTGCATGACTATATGTTCAATGGACTGGTTTCAAATAAATTAGAAACAGCTTATCCCAATTACAGCAAGATTTGATTGTGTCTGCAACTGACAGTAATTCAGATAGATGATTGCTTCAAAAATGTAATGTTGTGTTTACATATTCTGCTAAACCAAATTCTAGTTTAGAGGGATAGCGTATAGCATAAATAATCCATTTTTCTGTTACGTTGAGTTAACATAGAAACTTATGTATTTTTTTAGCATAAAATGTTGACAGGAAATGCTGCCTCATTTGTTTCATCAAATAAAAGGAGTTCCTGGTTTTCATCTTTCCAGTTTGTGTATATTATTACAAACCACAAAGCTTCCATTTCTTTACTTATGCTAGCAGAAGTGGGAGAGATTAAATTTATTCACAGTAAACCAGAATTCTAATTAAGAATGAAGTACAAATACAATTAGGGGCCAGGTTTATAGTAGTCACATATTTAAATGCTCAAGATTATACTCTTCCAAGAGAAATGGCCAATACAATGTTAAGGAAAACATTGACAGAATTTACAGTACGGACTGTTTCACAAAACATACTGAAACTAATGCATGTATGTGGCTGTAATCCCAATCTCTCAGCTAGACTAGCCCACGCTCATATTCTACAGAAGACATGTGCCAAAGGTGATATGCCGTAATGTTTTGGTGATGTGTCAGTGTTCACCAACACGAAACAACTATTCATGAAAACACACCCATTTTCATGCAATTTTTGAAGGATACAGGAACGGGGTGTGTTCTTGCAAAACACACCTGAAAATTGAACAAGAACAATTGTTACAGTTTTAGGAAGCTGCAGAGACCCTAGAACAGCATTCTCCAAAGCTGCTTCAAGAAAGAAGACCTCATGCAACCCAGATCAGTCTGAGGTAGGAGAGTGAAGGCCCGTCAACAGAAAGAGAATACTGCCTGAGGGTATGTGGTACACAGCTCATGAGCCACAGGAAAGGGCATGATGTGGCTTGAGAAGCAGCAGTGGCATTAGGGTTGAAGTCAAAGCCATCTACTTCAGGCCTAGCATCAGGTGCCTCGTTTCAGGGTGATATAAATGGTGGGGGAGAGAGAGAAAATGGTTCCTCTTTTGTTTGGGAATTGGGTGTGACATGTCGCAGAATCAAGTTAGGCCTTTCCAAATGTTTTCATATTCTGAATCCAAAAAGCTCACTATCATTGTCCTATAGTGTCTTAAAGGTTCCTGCAGGACAAAAGCATCAATGTATTTTTGCTTACTCTGGAATATAAGTCTTGCCTGACAACACACTCTAGGACCATGAGGGCGAACCTATGGCATGTGTGCCACAGGTGGCATGCAGACCCATTTGTGCTGACATGTGAGCCGCAGGCAAACTTACCTCACTGCCCATGGGCATGCCTCCGAGCTGATTTTTGGCCTGTTTGAGGACTTTTTTGGCCTCCCAGGCTTGAGGAAAGCCTCTGCAGCCTGAAAAATAGGCCCACTTTGTCACTTCCTGTCCTGAAGTGATGAAACGGGCCTATTTTATAAGCTGCAGAGGCTTTCCTCAAGCCTGGGAGGCCAAAAAAAGTCCTCAACAGGCTGAAAATCAGTTGGGAGGCGCAGTGCAGGTAAGGGGGCGGGAGATTGCGTGAGCATGCGCAGGGGGCATGGGGGGCATGCGTATTGCCTTCTGGGTGCTGGCACGCAAGCACACAAGCACAAGCGCCCACACAATTTTTGGCACAGGAGCCCAAAAAGGTTAGCCACAACAACAGAACTATAAGAACAACCAACATGGTATTCTATCTATTTGGTATGGGGCTTCCAATATGTCAATCAAGAAAATGGTTAACATTTCTTTCCTGTTTTATCAACTGACACCTGAAGCTAGGAAGCAAGACAGCACATCTTCAGGCTCCACAAAAATCAAGCAGATAATCTATGGAGCAGAGGGAAGAGGAACTTTCTTTTGCTACAGCTATTCTATTCATCAGCTCTCATTCTGTGGAGCACAAGTACAAATACATATCAGATGGATTCTTCTAGCATTCCCTCAAGCAAAAATGCAAACCATCTGCCATGACAAGTTTTATAATCTATGAAATTTTGAAATGATATGATCACATAAACATATTGCGGCAGAAATTGTATGTACAGTTAGGACTACTTTAAATACTACTGCAATGTTAAGTCAAATTCAGCTCTACTGTACTGTAAATAAGTGCACTATAGATCAACCCACCAACAAAATTTGAGTAATATATAATCAAAAAATAATTTGTTGTTACAAAAACTACCATGTGAAGCATGAGTTTACCACATTGTGGAAGCCCATAATGCAACAAAAATTCCTGATGCTTAACTTTACCACAGTAACTAAACTAAAAATGACAAATCAATATCTGCCTAAAAATTTAAATAATGTGACTTCAGACCATGCTTATTTACCAATTTATAGTGACAAGAATCAATGTATTGTTTTGAGTAATGTTTGTTCCAAAATACTCCCATAAATTGGAGACATCAATTATATCAGCTCTGAAATAGGAAAGTCTGAATTATAGTGTGAACAATGTAACCAACCACTATTCTTTCTACCATAGACTGAATAATCTGAAAACAACACCTATATGTATTTTTTCTTCCTTATCTATCGTGTTTTCCAAGACAGCCTACCCTGGGTTTATTTTGATAATACAAGTTATTTTGGCCATTAACCAGAAATCTGCCATAATCAGGAAAGATGTGAGTACAATTTTAACCATTGGAAACCATTTAACAATATCCAGATCAAATATGAGACAGGAAAGATTATTGCTTATAAATGTAGGAAATTATTTTATTATATATACAAGACGGTCCAACCCTGTAATGACTCTGGGTAAAATAATTATTTCCTCAGTGTTCCCTCTCATTACCTCACAAAGCACATATTTCAGGAAAATACCAAGCTGAAGAATTCATTCTTTAGAATGTGCTTGGTTTATTCAGAGGAGGTACCCGTAAGGTCTTATCATCTGTGCAAAAAATATGGAATATTTGCAGTTGGTACAGATGCTTCCTCAAAGTATTTCATTGCACTGGAAGACTTCTATACACTTCAGAAAAGAAAAATCTAATTATTTACTGCCACACTGCAGCAAGCAGCACCAAGTGTTTTTTTTTTCCTGCTACTATCCTCAGGGCAGTTTTAATACCTGAACGTTACCCAAACCCAAGATTGTCCATCATTGCTTTCAAAAGTCTTCTCCAACCGCAGGAGCCTCTAAGAACTCAAAATTTGGAAACGACCAGGTTGATTTTGGCGGTATTCGCAGGCAGAAGGGGATCGATCGCTTTTCCCACCGATTCCTCTCCAGACACGCACTCGGTGAGGCGATAATACTCGGGGAGAACTGCTTTAAACATTACCTTCCAAGATCGAGACCACAATGAGGAGCTGGTCAGGCTTAGCGCCCATTTTCATTCGGGGCAGCGGCTACCGAGCCAAAAACGCCAGGTTCAAGGCGTTATCCGCTCCAGAAGAAGCAAGCACAGCTGATAACGTCTGAAGCCGGCTTCCTATTTAGGACGCCAAAGAGCCACACCAGTAGGCAGGTTTTTCTCCTCCCAGTCCCGCCGGCCCGCAGCTCTTTCGCGCCTCTGACTCGTTTTCAATTCAGCCGCCGCTTAGCAACCGGGAGGCGTAAGAAGACATGCCGGAACGCAAGAACCAGCAGTCGAAGGGAAGGAGAGCAGCATTTGCCTCCAGCCTGTGGCTTCACTTCCGTCTCTCGGTCGCCGTTTTCGGAGTGAAGGGGCCACAGCGCCCCTTCCTGGAGTGGCGGGAAAGTTCCTGAAAGGGAGCCCTGCCCTAAAAACATCAGCAGAGAAAGCGCGGTGCGATTCGCTCTCCGCACAGGGAGGGATAAGTTTCAATTTTGAACAGCTGTGGGTGTCCTCGGCTTACATGCGAATTAGCAACCGGACTCCCCGCACAGCTAACGAAAGTGAACAAAGGAGCTGCACGGCCATCCGAAACCAGATGGCCCAAACGGCCACTGGGGTAGGGAGGGGAGGTTTTAAACAAAAAAGATTAATCAGGCAAGTGAGTTTCCCGTCATTGCGTTCTATTAAAGTCTGTCTCACCCTCGCAGACGGAGATGTGCAAATAACGATTTCCATTGCGAGTGGGCGGTGTGAGGGTGTTTCCCCAGGCTTTCTTGAAATGCCTTAAGGGGATCTGCTTACTTTCTGCAGAAGGTCCCTTGGTCATCCGTACTAGCTGTAATCGGATCCATTCTTCCTCCAAATTTTTACTTAATTGACGGAACATCCGCCTTGGTTTGGACTCTCTCAGATAAGTCATCTGTTTTTCACGAACATACCATATGTACAGATGCCACTGTCAGTCTCTGAAAGTTTTTTTCTTCCTTTTTTCAGTTGTGATCTCATCTCAAACAAATCACATTACATCACCCTATACAATTCTTGAGCGGGTTTCTTGGTTTTCGATCTTCGTTTTGCTTTATGAAGATTACCGAGAAGCTAATTTTAGCTTCAGTGATCTTCAGAAGTGGAGCCAAATGCCTCGCTCAGTCTCCGATACGTTTACATTATCTTTCTATCTAGCGTTATAGATCTACCGTGGCGTTATTGCAGAGAAACCCTTGTTGGGATGAGCTATCTGTATTTTTAAACTTATAAATTAAACCAGAATTTGCACTGAAATATATTGGGCAATTTTGAAATGGATAGAAGTGTCTTCTGGGCAATCTGAAATCCATCTATATCTGTATTATTTGCCTCTTCCTATTAATTACAGTATGTGACATGACCTTAGTATGGAAAAACAAACTACTGAATAATTCAGAGCTTCAGTTTCAATTCTAGCCTATTTTCAACAACTTAATGATAGATAGATATGTAACCTTAAGCTTTCCTTATATTTCCTGCTGGGAAAACTTTTCATGTGGACCTCTGGGACAGCTGAAATTTGGAAAGGTCTGCTGGTTGATTACAATAGTTATAACCAATCACAATATGATTCCTACCAACATTTCCATGTTTTTCAGAATAATTTGTCCTACTTTCAGCATACTTATTATTACCATATAACATTTTTCTATAATTATATTTTACTCAAATCTGCTGCCTAGCTTTCCGTGAATATACATCCAAACTTGGGGTGCATTTATACCACATAATGGGTTAATCTTGGTTGAGAAGTTTATGGTTCACTGTTGCCAAAAAGATATTGCTTCATATTGTTTTGTTTTTGGAGTTTTTATGGGGAGGGGGGGGTATACACTTCCAAAAGTAGTACTGGAGTACAGATACTCATCATTTTACCCCCATAGAAGAGTGCTTTAATGATGCAGAAAGCTGGCATTTTGCTTTGAAGCATGCCAGTATTTCACTTTTAAAATGTAACATTATCTATCTGGTTAAACGGTCAGAGAAAGCATAGAGCCAAGAAAGATTTCTGCATGCCAGTTGAATTCTATAACATTGTAATGGTGCAGGTGCACAAGGACACCCTCAATATAACCGGTCCTGAAGAAAAGTTAGCATTGTCTCAGTATGACAAAAGCTGGAAAACAGTGAAAGAATGATACAATGCCAACGAAGGGAACAAAAAAAATATTATTTGCTTAACTTTCCCACCATTTTTGATATAGTATCAGCATTAGCAGCACCAACCTTAAGAAATAAATTCCTCGCAATTTTTTCAATACCTTATGTGTTTGTTATGATAAAATGCCCATTATAGAGGACTATTTTGTCTGTTGTTTCCTATTTCATGATTTAGTATTTTAGATGCCACAGTGAAATTTTAAAAATCGAATTGCAAAATATCTTCATATTGTTTTAATTCATGCAGTCAAGGGAATCAAAGTCAACTCAATGATGTCTACCTTTAAAAAAATTGCCTCAAGAGCTAACTTGGTTGTTTCTATATATTTGTGGCTATTATAGCCACAATTATATTATTCCTAGTTTTCTTTCCATTAGAGTTATTCCCAGAGTAAAGTGTATTGATGTTGAAGAAAAGAAGCCGATTTAAGTTCCAATATTTTATGTACCAGCCACCCCAAACTCCTTTTCATCACATAATTTGAGATGCCTATTCAAAGCCGTATATTTGTGCATTCTTTTATTGAAGTTGTTCTAATTTTTTTTCTTAGTGGAAACAGGACTCAAATACAAGCCCTGCATTATCATTCTGTGGCATGTCATCCAAGACTTTGTAAAATGTCAGCTACATATACTTAAGTAACATTGGGATAATTGCCCATTGGTTTAAATATTTAGATATTATAGATGTTAATGCTTTTAGGGGAAAAAATTATCTAGGTGAGGCCAATTTATTGCCCACAACAAAACTACTTTATTTCATTTTACAAGGAAACAAAACTGCATTTTCATCAGGTTGTTTCAGGGTCCAATTACTGTAATACAGATTGAGTAATAAGGCTCTTAGTTTATTTATAGTAGACATTTTGTCTTCTTTGGTGACAATTCAGCTTTTTCTTGTTCCGTGTACTTTTGTGTGTGAGGAAAAGCAGCCCTTGAGTTCTCCCTCCAGAGGAATTTGCTGTTTTAGTCGAGGAAGCTTCTCTGTAGGGCTTCTGAAAAACAGTAGGCAAGTAGACACAGAATGTGCTATTTGGGGAGTAGGAACACCCGACACTCAACGTTCAATGTGAAAATTGAGGTCATAAAAATGTTGAATCAGCAAGTAGCTTTGGACTCAGTGGAAATTGACCCAGACCAGGAACCACTATCTCCTCTTCCCAGTCCTCGGGACCATCACACTGAAGAGAAGGCATTAAAAGGTGGCACAGGATTGTTTAGACTTTAAGCAAACCTGGCAAGGCTCCATTGCAGTAAGTTGCTGATGGGAGCTAGGTTTGAGCCTGCTATGATCAGGCAGGAGACAAAGCAATTATTTAGAAAACAACCTGGAATCAGCAATGGTGTTCTACAAAAACTTACTGATTCCTGTCTCAGAATTCCTAGATACTATTTCCCTCATTTATTTTCCCTTGCTCCTCCTTCAAATTTATTCTATCTGGTGACCCTGATAGGTGTGCCTGAAATGTGGACTGAATTTATGATGTTGAGATAGGCCCGATTGATTTACTGCTGCTTTAAACCTGTTAAATCACAACTATTTACTGTATGGGCAGCATCATTTCACCTTCCCATGTTAAAGATGAATCCTACACACTGTACTGTTGCTCTTGAGATGTTCAGCACTGTTTTGTCGGTGTTAATACTTGTGTGAGCAGCATGGTGGCCTAGAAGTGAAGCTCTCACCTCACAATCAGGAGGCTGTGAGTTTGATCCTAGGTAGTGGCAGATATTTCTCTCTGGGTGCAATGAGTAATTGTCTGCTGTAAACTCTGCATAGGTGTCATTCGGTCAGCAAATGCTCAGCTCCACTCAGTCACTCCAATTTTGTCCTGATATAAGGGGTTATAGGATTGTTAAAAAGAAAAAAAAAATGATGCTTGTTATGTGAAACCATAAGAGAAACAAGCAATTCATTTTTAAACATGGTTTAGTGAATAAACCAGAATAGCTAGTTTGGCTGTAAAACCCTGTACGCTTGGTTTATAAATATGAATGTGTGTGTGTGTGTGTGTGTGTGTGTGTGTGTGTATATATATATATACACACACATACATACACACATACATATATACACACATATATATTGTGTATGTATGTCACCTGTGTGTATGTATATTTTATTTAGTTGTTGTGTACAGTAGTACAAAAACAATGAAAAAATATATACTGGCATCCTTTGTTTTATTGCATTTCCTTTGATGTACTTTAATTTTTAACTTTAATTTTTCTCAAGATCCTCTATCAGCAAAAAGATTATGACTTGGTTAAGGCTGAGATTATGATTGCCATTTTTAGCCATAAAATATTTTTAATTATGGTGTGTACATTTTTAAAGCACAATGCTATTGCATGCTTCGTAGTCTATAGCAGGGCTGCCAAATTTGTGGCCCACAGGCCGGATGTGTCACATGTTGGCCACGTCCACACCTGGTTTTGCAAAGGGGGAAAAAGTCATGATATGTCACATGACATTGCCATGACAACATGAATTTGACACTCCTCGTCTATAGTATTGTGTAAGAATAACTTTTATATACACTGGAAACCAAAGAAAAATGTATCATCCACTTTATTGCAATCTGCCTTACTGTAGAGGTCTGAAAATGAACACACAGTATGTTTGAGATATGCCCATAATAGCAATACAAATAGAATAAAATAAAATAAAAATAGAAGCCCCAAAAGGGAAAAAATGATAAAAACTATTGTTTACATATCATATTGGCCAAGGTAAGGTAAAAATCAATCAAACTGGATATGAAATGTTTCTAAAGACTTTTATTGATGTACCATGTTTCTCATGTATGATCTCTTATAAACTATTTCAGCTTCAGAAGATCTTGATAAGAAAATAATCATTTGGAAAGAATCTTCTCTGGTGCTGCAACTTTATTGTCTTAGCTGCTATTTCATTTTTCCCAGTGCCTCTTTATATAAGAATTTGCTGGTATTTTGATCTCTCATCATCACCAAAAGGTTTGGTTAGACCAGTTCCTTATGCACGATGATTAACTTTAGATTTCATTTGCATAATAAAGCCCAGGAGCATAATTTTATCACAACTGAAATGTTATTATTTCTTTATAAATAAATGTTGGAGTTTTAAC